GAATAAATCAGCACTGTTTTGAAGTTACTTGGACTGTCTCGTCTCTTAGAGTTAGCAATGGTAACAAGAACTGAGACCTACACTTTACTGCCTGGACTCCACAGCAGACATAACATAACTTTGTTCATGCCACGTTTTGTGTTTGCAGATAACATTATTCAACTGAAAAGAGAAAGAGACGGGTTTTTTTTTTTTTTCTTGTTGTGAGTCAGTTCAACAATAAACTGAAACTAACTATAAATTTTTTTTCCACATTATTGCATTGTTTTCACATTTGTAATTTGATATAATTTCATTGTTAAAATACAGTTTATAGTCAGTTTAAGATTTGAATTGAGTTTGCCAAGACTCCAAGAATTTTCTTTGGTATTTTGTGTCTTTATTACAGAGCTCACACTTGACTAAAGAGATATCTAGTTGCTCCACAATGTTTTAATTTTCAAGGTTTTATTTCATATTGGTTTGCTGAGTTGTAACTGATTTGTTGTATTATATATACATTTTTTTATTTGGTAGTGAGGCAGGACCCAACCTGCTCTATTGTCTTCCAGGAGCAGAGAGACTTGTGTCTGTTTTATTGTTTCTCACAGTGTGTGGGAAACCAAACTAGTTTTACCTCTGGTTATTTTTAGGGGTACTTACAGTAACAAACAATCAAAACCTGTTTAGACCTGTTTAGTTGGTATGAAATATGAGTCTAGAGCAGAGCAATTTGATCTGTGACCCTTGACTGCATTGAATAGTTCTGAAACGTGCTTTAAATTGGTAAGACGTGAAATGTGTGCGGTATTATGACTTGGATTTATTTTAAAATGCCTTTAAAATCCATCCACAGCTAAAGTAGCTAATAGGCTATTAACTAACTAGCCAGTAGCACACTGATTAAAAATGAAAACCTGCTAGCTGCCTAATGTCACCAGTCTTTACACAGTAGAAAATGTCAGCTCATCAGGCTAGAGAAGCAGCGCAGGCTGATGAGGGAATGAGTGTTTCACGGTGATGCTCTAATTCTAAATTATATTAGTTTGGAATTATAGGCAGACATCAGTGTTAAAGGTAATCTCAGGATGCCCATCCTCAGTTAATTTGATTATGAGTTTATCTATATAAAAAAAACATGTTAAAACAAGTTGGTTTCATAAGCTCTTGTTCACTCATGTTTAAAATTACTCTCAAAGATAAAAGAGTAGTGTGGGGAGAACAAACACTGAAAGCGGTCTTAAATTATCTCTACGCATTTATATTAATGAGGGCAGACATGCAAACTAAAGACTCCAAAGTGACCATAAAGTTGACTCAAAACCTCTTTACAACAACAACAGCAACAAAGCTGAAACATATATTCTTCATGAATGTCAGATTTATTGCAGGACAGTTGCAGTAGACAGATTTAACTAGGCGTATCTAATAAAGTGGAAACGGCACATACAGTAGATGTTACTGTTTTTTCCCACCTCATTGGAGTACACTGTGTAAAAGTGACTTTTACTTTATTTTAGGGACAATGCACCTTAATTGACATCACTGTAAATATGGCAGTGTTCAACAAAAGGCTTGGTTACACAACATTTATGATTCTCATAGGTTTGGCTAAACGGACTAAGTCAGACATTTGTCTTGTGTGTGTGTGTGTGTGTGTGTGTGTGTGTTTGCAACCGTACCATTCCAGTGTGCACATTCCTCATTGAGCATCCCAGTAAGTGTGAAGAGGGCAAAAACCAGGAGGGAGAACATGATTATCACCGCCTCCAGCTCAGTAATCGGAGATGCCATCTGTGTACGCTCGCTGTCACAGCTGTATGCCAACAGTAAATGATTCATCTGTAAAATCACCTGCTTTCCAACAAAAGTGACACCCCCTCCCATTACACACTGAATCTAAATTACAGTTAAACACTCACCCTAGTGTGTTACAGGAGCATTTAGATGTTGACCATCACACAACAGCTTCATGACACAAACACGCACCCTCTTGGTCTCTTTTTTGTCTCGCTCTCTCTCTCTCTCTCTGTCTCACAATCACCAACTTTGAAGAACTGTGATGAGCTGACTTACACATCCCTCTCAAGTTCAAGTGAGATCATATTAACCCTAATTATTAATGGGCCTGTGCCTCTGTGTGTCTGTTACTTGATTGACAGTAGAAATGCCCCACATAAAATGTGTGACTGTATAAATCTTTAACATTTATGGCGCTTCTCTGGGGCTGTAGTTGGCCCCAGATGGTTCAGAGTGTGTGAGAGTTTTGTGCTTTAAGATCCTGATGCCACATTTAGATGTGGTTCAGAAACTGAAACTCTCAGTGGAAATTAATGTTCAAGTTTGTGTTTTTTTTTTTCTCGTCTTTGCAAGAGACCTTGTCATGTGGTAACTTTGCTGTTGCACTGGAACAAATCCATTTGCCTGTGTGCAAACACATGTTTTCTGTAGAACTGTTTTATAAAGAACTGAAGCTTTAAACATCATAAGTGCTGATTGAGCAACACTATTTTTAATCAAAGACCAAGTTGCAACAATATGTGTGCATGCTTGCATGTACACTGTGTGTGTGAAAGGATATGGGTGATCATACATATGTGGGGCACTTGACCACTTCTCTCTTGGTGAAAACCAAGTTTCTGCTGCAGCTGCTAACAAGATGTTGAATATTCACTGTCATCAACATCCTGCAAATGAATCAGGAAATAAAGGTTTATTGAAAAGATTAGAGCGGATTCCTGGGGAGTGAGCCTGGGGATGTGAACAATAATCAGGCAGAGCACTTTAAGTCACCCATTTCCTAGTTATATTAGTCTTATATCAGACCTGAGAGAATTTAAAATTACACCCTCACCACCCCCACACACGCCTACTGTACAAACATTTTTTGAAGGCACTGATATAATTGTGTATGATTTGTGTAGGTTTTCACTTCATGGCCAGTCAAAAGAGTAATGTGCCTGTATTTCTTTAACATGACAGAAGAAATAAGGTGGATTAACCTTTGTCAACACATTGTTTCTCACTAGAGAGTCTTAGAACAACTAAACTGAGCTCTGTGTGTGTGTGTGTGTGTGTGTGTGTGTGAGTGAGTGCTATCCATGTGCACAAGTTGTGTAAGCTTATTTGCAGCACCTCTGGTTAGAGGAGAAGATTGAGGTCAGTCTAAGCCCTAATCCCTATGAACCGTATGCTTGTTACCCAGCAAGTGCAACAAAATCCTGACTCCGCCCCCCTGTGAGGAAGACGTGCACACACATTTTTCCTGCCTCCTTGTTTACTGCTCAGTTTCATTTCTCCCTCTCTCTTTCTCAGCAGGAGGGCAGAGGAAACAGATGAGGAGGAGGAAGTGGTGCAGACTGTTGGGTAGTTCTCGAGTCGTCATGACGACTTCACACCCTACCATTACCAGAGCCAGCTTCCTGTTGCCACGGTGACTTGATCCTGTTCCATCTCTTCTCCAAATTGGGCTGATAAAGGAAAGCAGTCCCAGAGCACAGTCTCCTTTCCCTGAAAACAGCTCATGGATGGGACAGTGAATCACATGCAAGGACGCGGATCGGAGTAGAGGAAGGTGCGGTGCGCTGGGAATGCTGTGGGAGTAACACTGGAGTGTTGCCTGGAAACAGCAGCATGCCAATACAGCAGATAACTGTGGTTCCATCCAAGGAGACAGCCAGCAACAGCAAGAGAACTCCTCGCTCCAAAGATAAAAACGAGGTGAGTTTCTGAGCCTTCAACTCTTTTCTGAAGCCCCAGAGGTGCCACTAACAGCTCTGTAAAAGTCTCTGGTGCCCACAAGGAAATAATTGCATTTTAGGGTGGTAACATAGTTTAAGGTTAAGTATTAGTGTCAGGGTTAGGGTTAGGCAAGTAGTGGCGATGGTTAAGGTTAGGATAAGTCTACAGAAAATGAATGTAAATCAATGTAAAGTCCCCACAAAGAATAAAAACACAGCATGTGTGTGTGTATCAACTGAGTCTTTTCGACTCTCTCCTTCAATCTCACATGAAGTATGAATGCACTCTACCCACATACTCTATCCAAGTATGGATCACTGTACCCTCATTTGTGGTTTGAAGCTTTCACCTTCTATAGAACCTGGTATCACAGCACACCGTGACATATCACATCACATCACAGAACGTCATACATCCCCTCATGTTATATCACATACATATGTTTATTACTGAGGTCATAGTTAAAGGTGGTGTTGTACTGGACTACATTATATTTAGAGATGTTCCTAATATTCTGACCCTCTCATGTATGTAGCTGGTGAGGACAAAAATATAGACACCTCTGACGCTTCCCTTGATCAGCTTAGATGATGCTGTCTTCTACTTGTCAGTGTCTCTTATTTATTTCCCTGATTTGTACAGAGTGTACCAACAACTGTCTGTGTGGGCTGATACACACAAGCTCAGTTTTGCTTTATGTATGTATGTCAAGTATAAAAGATATAAAGAGAACACCCACACAACATACTTCAAACATCTTTAAACTATGTAATTATCCTGTAAAATAAATGAAGGTCATAATTTTCACCTTATAAAAGTGTCCATCGTCACAGGCCATTAGAGCTACCGAGTATTTTAACAAACTGGCAACAAATCCCACCAGAAGATGAAAACTAACAATGAGCTAGCCGTACCAACAAGTGCTGCCTGAAAAAGCTTATCCCTTTACCGGCTGTACTTTATTCTAAGTCACACAGACACTCTCCTGCTGCTGTAAATGCACATGACTTCACAGCTGTTTCACTCTTGTTTGAGTGATGTTTGCTGAAAACTGGTGGTCAGATGTAATGATTTACCTTAAAAAAAAAAGTCTATATTTGTGTATATTTATGGCTTGCTTTCTAAAAATTTTTACATCTTCTGTAGGAACAAATGGGCTTAAGGCTAGGTGTCACAGACAGAGAAGGAGGTCAGAAGTACTGAGAAACAGGCAAATGCATTTTTGATTTTGGTCTTCTCATCGAATTAGTTGAATTGAAGAAAAATACAGAACATCTCCAGCTTTACTTTCACTCCAGTAAATGTTCCACTGCCCACTCACTACATCAGACAGTTGGTGGATTATCCTGTGTTATGTTCAGTGTTAGACCGCGGCGTGTATGTGTGAGTGCTGTGGACTAATATACATACAACCCATACTGTGTCTAGCGCGTATCCACAGTAAAGTCAGAGAAGGCTTGAGGTGTATCTGGTGGATGGGACAAGATGGATTTATTCCCATAATGCATCTGGCTGTCAGTAACCGTGTAGCTGGGAATGAAAGCCAATTAAAGTAATGATGGAGGAAATGCTGCTTTTTGACAGAATGAGGAAGTGTTCTCATTAAGAGTTCTCTTTGTGATCACCCTGGTTGGTCTGTGTGTTTTTGCATAATAAATCAGGAGTAGAAATGCTGTGTACTTCTTATGCACTATATGAATCAAATCTATTTATTTTAAAACATGTAGTTTACTCATGTGAACACAGCTGAACTAGGTTGACATTACAGGTAGTCATATAACATACATTAATTTAATTACTTATCAACTATCCTTTTAAAATCTATAGTTATATGAGATCACTGCAGCCAAATACTCAATCAACACTGTTTTATGCAAAAATGTGACTTTTATTTTTGCATAAAAACAACTAAACACAAATTTGAGTATCTGCTTTGCTCAGTGACCCCAAAACAGATGTTCCTGTCTGGTTACAACAATAATTTGGTTTCCCAAAAATATATTATATCATGATTTAACTCAATATTATGATATAAATTCACATATTCTGTGCTACAGAAATTTATCTGATCTGGCTTATGGAGGCATGTGAAAAACAACTCAGGAAATTGGTTATTTACCGGTGTTTTGCATTTGGTAATTCCCACACACCACCGTCAAGTAGAGTCAATGAAACTGAAATACGCCGCAGGCAGTGAAATGAGGCCGCAAATGACTGAGAGTTGAGCTCAAGGTTTCACAGTTGAGTTCAGACAATCAGCGCTCTTGGACGGTCTAGAAAACATCCTTTAAGTTGACTTTAAATAGAAAGACATTGCAGAGCAGCATCTTGTACACTTAGCAGGACAACCAGGTAATAGGATTGTCTGGCTTTAATTCAGGCAACAATTCAAGGACACATAACTCTGCGTGACTCCTGATGGTGGATTTTAACTGATCAACACAGGACCAGCCAACACTGAACATGTTAAAAACAGCTTGGTTATTTTTATAAAGTTTTGTTTTCATTGCAGAATTAAAGCATTGGTGCGTTTTACTATAGTAACAACACAAAACCTACCTAAACTTCTCACGTTTCGCTTCTTTTTTATGGAGTTCTTAGGTGAACATGCATTTTAAAATCAAATTTGAAAAATGTCGTGTTTTTGTACAGTTTGTGGAAATCTTTAGGCAAAATTTAACTGACAGCAGATTAGAGCTGACACAATCAGTTATTTAAGTAATTAGTTGGCTAACAGAAAAGTAATAGCCAAGAAAGTTCATAGTGGCAAATTGTCTGTGGTTCACGCTTCTCAAATGTGAAGTTTTACATTCTTTTTATTTAAATATCTTATGACACAAGACACTTTAAAATGTCACCTTTGGATTCAAGAACTTTTGATGGGCATTTTATTGACTAAATTATTGATTAGCCTGTAAAAAAAGCACATTATTTTATGATGAAAACTAGAATTAGTGCTTCACTGTTGTATGCGTCCACAAACCAATCAAACTCACAGGTATGGAACAGAAGTGAAGCCTCTGACCTTTGACCACCAAAATCTAATCAGTTCCTCCTTGAGTCCAACTGGACATTTGTGCCTAATATGGAGAAATTCCCTCAAGGTGCTCCTGATATATCACAGTCACAAGAAACGGATGGACCGACAACAGCTATTGCCGATGCAGAAGCATAATTTTCAATTTAATTCAGTTTAATTCAGTTTTATTTGTATTGGCCAAATCGCAGCAGAATTCATTTCAGGGTACTTTACATAGTAAGGTCTAGACCTTACTATTATTATTATTGCTCTACAGCTGATCACACTGACATGTTATGGCGAGATGAATAAGCTCTGTGCTGATGTGAGTACAATGAAATATTGTTTTAATATCATAGTATTGATGTATCTAATGTTATGTGGCTGGTTTAAACTCCTCAGGCTACACAGTGCCATTAAAACATGGCATGCTTCTCATTGTTCTCAAATGATTTTCTGTCTCTCCTTCTCCTAGCAGGGGAGGAAGCCCCTTGGGCGCTCAGGGAGTCGGTCCAGCAACATCTCCAAGGTAACCACTCAGTATCGGAGAGCTTAAAGGGCCACATTCAAGGTCACAGTTCATGTACAGCAGCAATGTTTACCCAAGCTGGATCTGATGAGAAAAAATGTGCTAATGCTAGAAGTGTTAAGTTGAATTCACACTGACAGTGTGAGTTGAATTCACACTGACAGCACAGCGCCTTGTGTTAAAATAACACAAGGCGCTGTGCTGGTGAGGATTAACACATTCTACTGATAGCTGATAGCAGCTGATAGCAGCTGATAACCGGTGACCTACAGAGCAGCATGGAAACTTACTTGAGTGTGTTAATTTCATCAGGTCAGTAACTCTACAACAGGACTAACTACTGCCTCAAGGAAATCGATCACCCTGTCTTCTCAGGACATATGCAGGTAAGTCACCTGTCACTTTAGGCTACAGTTACCTGGATAGAAAGTTTAAGACTGGCACCAGAGCAGCCACAGTTCTTCTCCCACTCAGCTGAATTAGTACTGGTATGCTGCACCCTGAGGGCATAATAACATTCATATGGTGCTCCCATTGTGCAGTCAATAAGAGGAAGATGGCTAATTGTAGAAACTGGATCCTTCAGCTTATTACATTCACTAGTGGTGTGGTCATCACACCAACAGGTTCAGTCTGGTAGGACACTGTTTCCATTAGCAGTGTGGACGTGTATTGTCTGCCATAGCTCGGAACTCCATTTGCCACTTACCATTTTCACTCTTTCTATATTTATCATATCCTGTTCTGTTTACCTACGTAGCTAGATAATCAGACTAAACGAACACTTTGTTTTCACTTCATTATTCAGTCTGGCCTTGTCTTTGTCAGCACTTTTCTGTCTCTGGGGGTTGTTGTTTTTCCTGAGCCAGTCAGTAGTCAGTGATGGATCTGTCCTGCAAATTTTAGCCATAGTAACAGGTGCTTTAAGCCGTTAACTTAATGCTTTTCATTGTGAAAAAATATGCTAATTGGAAAGTTGTTTCTAACAATCCCTACAAGTGCATCATTCACAGTTAGCTATTTCTCTGTCCACCCATGAAGCTCTTATTCATGTGGTTATTTTTTTCAAGCAGGAAACAAACCTGTGTGAATCACTGAAAAAAGAAGCCTGGAACTAGGCTTAATATTATCTTTATCTCAGTAGGCTATGGAGGATACTGGTCTATGGCAGTTTAAAAGCTTGATTCGCCAAAATTCCAAAGCAGATATAATATTTCGCCTTAAGTGGCAGCTGTCTAGCAATGAAGAGATTTAGATTTATTTGCCCATGTTTGGAGATATTTCTACCTTCACTTGATTAGAATGGAGTTGAATGTAATTTGACTTATGGTGCTCAAATACTGATATCCATCCATCCATCCATCCATTATCTATACCACTTATTACTGAATGGGGTCATCAAACCCAGAACCTTCTTGCTGTGAGGCAACAGCTCTACTCACCACCACCCTCAAACATTGACATATCACGTTTTTTGTAATTTGGGTGAACTGACCCTTTAAGTACATACAGTAAGGTTTCATCTTGTTTAGTTAATGCCCTCACCTTCATGTCTTTTTCATTGTATTGAACATTATTTTGACATATCGCCATTTCTGTGTGTGTTTATGTGGTGTGTGTATTCAGTCCTGGCCAACTGACTCCTTTAGAGGAGGATGCTTCTGAATCACATATACACAACCACACACACACCTCTGCTATGACAGTTACCGGCACAACTCTGGACTCATCATGTCAGGCCCAGAAGAAGCAGGTGAAGCGGCGTCACCGCACCAAGAGGAGCATCTGCACTATCTTGGACTGCGTGGAAACCAAGAGCAAACGGGATCAGACAGGCTGCTGTGACCACAGCCTCAGCTCTGTCCGCACTGAGAGGGGGGAGAAGAGGGAGCACTCCTTCAGGAACCGAAGGGGGCTCCCCCCTCACCTCCACTGCTCAGGTGTGCCTCAGTCCAATTCCTCCTCTGAGGATGAGGAGTGGCGTGAAGCCCGCAGGTGGAACAAAGAGAAAGCCCGAAGAGCAGGTCGCCGCAGTGGAAGCAGCTGTGGGAGGGATGCAGTGAACGGGGGTAAAGGTGGCAAAGACAAACCGGATATTATGGAGCTGCAGTCGGTGGAGTCAGATGAAGGGAAGGAGAACCAGCATCTAGTGGAGGACGGCAGAGGCCTTAAGAAGCGGCACAGCAGCAGGGGCTTGAAGAACAGCGACGGTCACATTTCACAGAGGGATGACTTGCACCGCAGAGAGAAGGG